TGATGGCCAAATGAGAAACATATTAATGATAACCGGTGATATGGAATGGCTATATGATATGGTCATGTGCAAACAAATATACATATAAAAGGATATGAATGGCTATATATATACATGGGCCGACCAGTGCGGCTCTGCCGCCGGCGACGGGCAGTACAAATTAAGTGATAGCCGATGAATGAAATTAATGATACTGTGTATCCGGCCATATGAAAAGCTGATTAAAGTCCTGATCATGAAAGGACATTCTATGGACTAATATGATCCTAGAGAAATAATTGATAAATTCTCCAAATTTATGGAAAAACGAATATTGACGAGATGGTACCAGTAGTTACCACGTGATTAATGTGATGTCGAAAGTTATGATATAATGATTAAATGATATCCTTGTATAAATGGTACTTAAAACTACCATATAACGATTAAACAAAATGATGAAATGGTACCAGAAGCTACCATTGGATGATTGAACAAAAATGAGAAAATGATACCAAAAGTTACCAGTTATGGGTGATCACACAAAATAATTTTTTAATATAGTAAACGAGTCTAAGGGACTATATCAGAACACATTGAGATTCGAGATCATACATATATTACAATAAAGTGCTACAGAATAAGCACATATGACAATGATTGTAGTCATGAAGTACTACACACTTATTATTACTGAGAAACAAGTACAAAATGTTCAGATGGTGGAAATATGGAAAAGAGGCAGTAAATACTCGATGAATACAAAATACGCAAAGATTACATAATAGAACCCATAAAAGAAGGGTGCGTCTCGAGAGTGTAAAACTCCGTAACTCTGCCACCCATGAATGATATCTGGGTTCATATTTGAATAATATCTGGGTTCATAATGAGAGATCTAAAGGATCAAAAGCTATTTTTCGCTTGACCCCTTGTGTTTCCGCAGAATCTTGAAATGTGATGCGTTCTTGAAGCTTTTTGATAAGTTCAGCAGACGTGTCAGTAGATTTGAATACTTCTCTCATTGAAGGAGATATAAAGGTTTGATATACTCCTATGTCTAAAAATCCAAGCAAACCATGAAAGAAGTTATTAAAGTTCAATAGACCTATGGGCTTGTTATGAAGTTTCAATTCTGCCCATAAAGCAATGGTGAACATTGTCATTAGCGTTCCATACCCGCCTGGAAGAATGATAAAAGCATCGCTATTGTTCACCATATCCATCATACAATCATGAATGGAATGAGTTAACATCATGCTTGTGGAATCCTTGACGACCTTTGTTGAAGCTCTACGAAAAGGTATGATACTTTTCACTTCTATCTCAATACATTGTCCAGCCATTAAGAGACTATCATAGAAAGTATTGCTAGTCCCTCCATACAACAAATTGATTTTTTGATTCCTCATCTCTTTGACTAACTGACTTACAATATCAATAGTTTGAGAAAAACTTACCAGTTTAGAACCACCAAGAACACATATGGTTTTGATCGGTTGAAGAAAATTATTACCTTGCGAAGACTCTGAGACATCCATCTATTTATTGATAAACTGAATTTTTCAAAACTTTGTGAGGCATATGATTATGATGAACGACTCGCTATTTAAATAGAAAGTTTTACAAAGCAATAAATAATTTTACTGTTTTCTTCTGACAATTGCAACTGACAGATAAGGTGTTGGGTTTTAAATAAATCTTATCTGTCGGCAACTATAAGTTTTTCTAGAAAATTACAGTACAACATACTAAACTGTATTAGTATGATTTTTCGTACTAACAAGACCAGTTTTACAAACTTGATCTTTTGAAATAATATTTTCGAGACTATAACGTTCTTCTTCATTTTTGAACTGAATCCATAAAGACATAAGCTCACGATGCACGTATCCACTAGGATGTGTCTCAAGAATCTGTTGAATCGTTTGATCCAAAGACTCCTTACTCAATCCATCCTTTATAAACGTTATTTTATCTTCTCGATTTTTGGACACGTACCCCACAGATATACATCGTGTGTCACAAGTCCATCGAGCGCATTTGAAGCATCCACCTAACCTTTTTGCTCTTCGTTTCTTTGCATAAGTACTTTTACCCATACCTGGCATATATTTATATGAATTTGGAAACTCTCCAGACAATCGAACTTGTGCTTCGATCAACCATCTAACATCATTTGGAATACCATTATTCATTAGCATCCTCAATCTTTCTAATCGAGATCGATAAATCCTTTTTATGATATTTTTCGGAAGAAAAGAATAATATTTACGGATATTTGAGAGTGCTAAATCCATTTGTAAATTTGGACCTTTGTTAAAGAAAATTGAATGAATTAACTGATAATTTATAGAAAAACATGATGCGTATGCGATACGACTTTGGGCTTAAACAGTGTTCAAAAGTATGTGTGTCAGACGGCATGACACGATTCTGGATTTAAACAGTGGCTAAAAGACATTTTGCCAGAGCACACACTTAAAGTGCATTTATTGCCGCCGAAAGATGATGTGAAATGTTTGTGATAAACATGTCACAACGAATTATTGTGATCACTTTAAAAATGCTTACCGATATTTTTGATGATGGTTTGCATGATGAACTTATTCTTTGTGATATGAGATGCTTGTTCCCGATTAGTGAAAAATATTACTAGCTAAATATTTGTGAATCGATATATGATCAATCTGAGTATGAAAGGGGTACGATATATATGGGCCCACTACCCCTCCATGTGTGCTACTAGATATTATGGATCCACTAGATAGCCACATGTGTGTGATTCGTAACCTGAAGTTACGAGATGATTTGATCAAAGAATGTGTATATGACATATAACCTGAAGTTACGAGATGGTTTGATCTAAAGATGACACAAGATGATTATGAAAGAATGAAAATAAGTGTCATATGAAAGTGATGAAGCTAGTAATATACTCACCTGATATGATGAACTCTTGAAATAAAAATGTGCACACTACAAATGATATGAGTTCAAAGTCCTCCAAATATATGTTGAAATCGAGAACAAAATAAAGACTATATGAACTCCCCTCAAGAAATTCAATACTAAAAATACAGATCAGGGATCTGTTAAGATGAGGGGGAGAATCAATGATTGAAATTTGGAAATGATATATGCATCACACTGAGAGTGTGCGAATCATAAACTGTATGATACTGATGATGTGAAATATATGAAATGATATGTTGGTGGAATAATACGCTGGAAGCGTTGATATTGTTCAAATTGAAATCCCCCAAATAAGTGATGAAAGGAGGCATATATATTGATGAAATCAATTGATAGTGAGATATCTCAATATATTACGGGGTATAATGGAAATGAATAAGTGTCGACATAAACAAATGAATAGCGCTATATAAATAATATTGTCGAAAATGAAATCAGCTGAAATGTGAATATTGGGAATTATTGGCAATAAGACCATTGAAATCAATTGATGATGAGAATGAGTTTAAGGATAAAAATTGCACAAAGCATGATATGACATATTGTCGTGAATACCATCAGTATCTACAAATCCGAAAGAATTTATATGATACTCATGCAAATTATGGAAAGATTATTATGGTGAATATATGCAATACGTGTTGTACTCTTTTTCCCTTGGCTGAGGTTTTGTCCCATTGGGTTTTCCTAGCAAGGTTTTTAATGAGGCAACAAGGATGGCGTATTGACATGAATAGTGTACCCTTTTTCCTTCATTAGGATTTTGTCCCACTGGGTTTTTCCTAATAAGGTTTTAACGAGGCATATTCATGGTATGATGAGGACTACTGGATAAATGATATGATTCTTCACGATGATAAGAGATACTGGAGTAGCTGTACTCTTTTTCCTTCGATCAAGTTTTTTCCCACTGGGTTTTCTTGACAAGGTTTTAACGAGGCAGCACATGGATATTCCACTAAAGATGATCTATTTGAGGGGGAGCTATGTTGTGCTTCCACAATGCTCAGGTTTTGTCCCACTGGGTTTTCCTGAAGAAACAATGTTATGATTTCAAGATGATCAGGTTTTGTCCTACCGGGTTTTCCTGACGTGCTGAAGCAACAGTACCTGATGGCCACAAGATACACTTGAAGATGTGCAGATTGTGCTTTGTTCAAATCAGTTAAAATATGTTTAGAAAATAGTCATTCAAGGGGTAGTGTTATGAAATAATAAGATAATGTATGTGAATGACTATTTTGCCCTCGATGTATTTGTATTATTACAAATTGTGCCATCAGGAGTTTCCTATAAATAGGAGCTTCAGTTATAATGAAAAACACACCTAAGAGAATACATTTTCTCTATCCTCTCTCTTTCTCTTTAGTTTTATAACAGTATTAACAAATTCGAAAATTACTTAAGTTTTTAGTAGTCATAGAGGGGGTGAGAACAAAAATGGTATTTCATATGCATAGCTCAGTGGAGAAAAAAAATAATTACAAAATGTTAAATATTTAAGTGGGCCTCTTCTTTTATTTGGAGAAAATTAATAACAAAATGTTTGGGTATTTAATTGGGGCCATTTTCTAAGTTTAGTTGGGGCACAACTAATTTCAATTAGGCGTTTTCTTACAGTTGGACCCATTTTCCAAGTTGGGCCCCCTTTCTAAGTTTGGTTGGAAGCACATCTAATTTCTAATACAGAAAAATGAAAAAAACAAAACTTTAATAGTTAACAAGACATTTTTTTTATTATTGGGCCCCCTTTTCAAGTTGGGCGGCCATCACCCAGGTCGCCCTGGGCTAGGGCCGGCCCTGCCAGTAGTGTATTTACACGTGTCTTACAATAAATACAATTTGTACAGATATCAACACATGAGGTGATGGATGATTATTGATTCCATAAAAAAATCGGATAACAATACGCTGACTCCATAAAATTTTGCTAATTATAATTACCATTCTTAAGAACAAAAGTGTACATAAACTCCATTTCCAATAGCTAATCATTCTACAGTGACTATCCTTACAAAAGAAAAAAAAAATCCGCAAACTCTTCACTACCAGCACTGGTCCGTCTCCCAAGTCCGCCTCCGCCTGCCAAAATCGTAAAACCCGCCGGCCGTCGAGACCGCCGCCGCGCGCGGCCGCCGGAGGAGCGACCGGTCGTACGCCTCGCGCCTCTCCGGGTCGGAGAGCGTCGCGTACGCCGCGTGCACGCGCATGAACTCGTCCGCCGACGGCGACGCGCCGCCCCCGCCGGCCGCTGCGTCGGGGTGCAGGACGCGCGCCAGCCTCCGGTAGGCGGACTTGATCTCCTGACACGTGGCTCCCGCGCGGATTCCCAGAACCTCGTAGAATGACGCTGGCGCAGCGCGGACGGCGGAGATCCGGACGGAGGGGTTGAGGTCGGAGGAGCACGGCGAGGCCGCGGCGGTGTAATTCCGGCCGTTGATTGGAGCGGAGAACGCAAATGAGGCGGCGGCCATTTGATTAAGGGGCTGTTTGGGTTCAGGGAAAAGAAAAATTGAATTTGAGGTGAAATCGAATCAAAGTCTTGTGATAATTTTGGTGGTGGTGGTGGTGGTGGTGGACTTAATTAGTGTGGGAGGGTTATTATATATAGAAACGAGTAAATAAGGGGGGCTGAATAGTAAATATGAGGACCACGGAGGATGCGTGTGTAAATAAAAAGTGATGTGGGGCTTATCCGCAAGGAGATATGGATAAAATGCTGACTCGATTGGATATTATTGGATTTGGATGCAGGACAAATTGAATTGAATATCCTTGTTACTCTCACATGTTGGTCTAATGAATTTTCTTCTACACAAAAATTGTTGCTCATAAATACTTATATTTTACTATTATAATGCAATATTTGAAAAAAAAAAATTGAAATGAATTATTTTTCTATGTCATTTTAAATTTTTTCAAATCCATAAATTTTATTCCACAAACCCAAGATACAAGTGTACAGCAAAATCAAGACAATGTTGATCAACCAATTTGTACTTACAAACGATTACCAAGTTCCTCAATAAAACCTAACAGACAAACCAAAAAAATAAAAAAAAAAATGCAAACAAAGCAAAACCAAAAACAATAAAGACATATGAAACCTGCAAAATCTCAAAGCAGCAACCGCAAGCAAACCTCAAGCGAACACCAAAACCAAACTAACCAAAACTGCTAACAGGGTACAAAACTTCAGCACAAAAACATAACGAAGATGAAATCCACTGAAAGACCACTCGATTCCCTCGATTCCACACATCCTTCCACCAACAAAAGCCATTACAAATTGCCTTATCCAAGAGAACAACCCTCCAAAACTTCACAACATTCTAACCATTCACTTAAAGCTCTAAGCACGGTTCGTTTCAGTTCAGAGATTCGGTTCTAATAGGTCGGTTATGGATCGGATATTTTGGAGATTTTTATCATTTTTTTTTTTTTTATAAAATCTCCTAATTGCATGTTAGATGGTACATATCATGGAGGAAAGAAAATCATAAACGTCTCTTAGTAATAGTAAGAATAAGTGGTTAAAATCTTTTTTATTTGATAAAAAAAGTGATAATTATCTTTCAGTTGCAAAATATAATAATTTAATTTGAAAGATTTATATGCTAAACGTTTATATGCCAAAAAATCTGCAAGTATAAGACATACATGAATAATAATCAATTTAACGATAGTTACTTGTTAGATTACTCTTTTACTGAAACAATAACTAATTATTATTCCATCATAAATTATACTAAAACAATAACTAATTATTATTTCATCATAAATTATACTGAAACAATAACTAATTACTATGATGGAATAATCAGTATGATGGAATAATTTATTATACTCTTTTACTGAAACAATAACTAATTATTATTCCATCATAAAGTACTATATAAGATGGTCTAATTGTTAGGAGAGGCGGCACATCCTTTTCTTTCAACAAAATGAATAATTGTTCCATGAAAATATCATATTTTTTTATGTTGTTGTTTTAAAATATGACATTTTAATTTAAAAATATGTATATATTTTATAAAATATAATTATTTAACAATTAGACAATACTTATATTTTGTATGTATATAGGGTTGAATGGGCCGGAACATTGGCCTAAATCTTTCCTGAGAGAATGACTATTCACAATTTAACTATAAAACAAACCTTGGCCTTGTTTTTTCAATAACTATTCTTGCTTTCACGGGAGTGAATGGAGATTCGATCCTTTAAAGGTCAAAATGAATTATTTATACGACACTTGTTAGGTCGATGCTTTCATGTGACTATTAGCCACAGCCTCTTTTTATGTGGTGTGACCCATTTTGAATATTAATTTGTCAGGCATTTTTTAAGATTCAATCAAGTCTCTTTCATAAAAACATTAATTACTGTTGTGTCTATCACATCTAAAC